TCTCGTCTTTCATAGCATCATGCCATAAATCAGACTCTTTAGAACTCATGGCTTGTAAAAACATTTCAGGATCATTTGCGGCTTCTATATTGTAATCCAATTCTTGAAGATACACCATAAAGTTACTAGAAATAGTTGGTTTTCTGACTCGTGTAGATCTTCTCAATGTTGTCTCATCATTATCATGAAGAACTTGCTAACCAACTAATTCATCATCAGGTTTTTCAACATTTTCTTGATGTTCTTCATTAACAACTCGATCTACATGATCATTTTCAGCGGCTTGTGGAACTTCATTAGTTAATCGTCTAACACATGTTGGAACTTGAGAATTGTGGAAGGCAATTAATCTATCACTCGATTTAGTACGTTGATCTTTATAGTGATCTCTTTCAAAATGAGTATTTTGAAAATGATCTCTCTCATTAATTAAGTCATTCTCGAGAAATTTAGCATTTTTCGATTCCACAATTCTAGTACTATGAGATGGACAATAGAATTGGAAAAACTAAGAACATAAAAAGTCTTTTCCAACGTCAAAACAAAACCACTAATAAGCACTAAACTGCACGTCCCAATGGCTTCCACAGGTGAATGCATCCGACTCCCGGAATAGATGAACTGTTAACTTCTCATTGATTTCCTTAGGCTTTCCATACCTTGCAAAGTATTGGAAACATGGATTGTAGAACCAGAATCAATCCACCATGTTTTATAAGTAATATTAACCATATTAGATTCATAACAGACAAATGTAGAAGGGATACCTTTCTTTTCGAGCCAGGTTTCGAACTTAATGTAGTCTTTCTTCGTGTGTCCTTTCTTTTTACAGAAAAAAAATGTAGAATCCTTCGTTATAACCCGCTCGGCTGGCACAGGTCCCTTCCCCTTTGCATCATACTTTCTCTTCTTTCCATGAACTGTCAGGTTCACTTTCTCATATTCCTCCATCAACAGTCTCTCCTCCTCTTGGACACACAAGGTCGTCAATTCATTGATGGAACATTTATCTTTATGTGTGTTGTAGGATATCGTAAATGGACCGTATTGATGAGGTAAAGTGCACAAAATATAATAGACAAGAGAGGACTCAGACATGGTCACCTATAAGCTTCTCAGTTGCGACGCAATGTCTCGCATGCGCATTATGTGCTCGATGGTCTTTATGAGCATCATAGAACGACGGTTAGATCTCTCCCACCGCTCATAAAGATCAACATCATCTGGCTCGTTGGTTTCAGTAATACCCGGCGGCTTGTCTTCACGAATAGCATAATCAATGTTCATCCAACCTAAATGAAGGAGAATCATCTCCTTCCAAATTTTGTAATTATCACTAGTCAATTCGGGAATATCACACTTAATATCAAAGAAATCCATAGGATTAAACGCGCAAAATTAAATATACATGTTCATCAATAAATAAGACAAATAAATTACATGTTCTACCAATGTAAACATGTTAAGACATAAATCTAAAAACATAAGACTTGCATGTGAGCTAAAGTTTTACTCAATTATATTCAAACAAAAATTTTACGGTAAAACTATCAAATTACGTATCTTTTCTTAATTTCTGTGGGTAGATTAAGAAATACAATTCAATATTTTATCATAATTATTCATATAAATATAATAAGACTCTTATGGATAGATTTCATCACATTGTACACGATAATTACAATTGATGTCTATTAATGTGATTTCAAATAAATTATAAATAAATTTTTAATTAATCGAGAATACTGTGGTTGTTCCCCAATTAATTAAAAATTAAAATATCACAAACATCATAAACACATAATCTAAAATACACAAAATAAACATATACATAATAAAATAAAATTAATACCAGCATGATGCTTCAATTAAGAATATAATGTAGATATTTTCGTAAAATAATAATAATAATAATAATAATAATAATAATAATTCCGCACGCCTCATAATAATAATAATAATAATAATAATAATAATAATAATAATAATAATAATAATAATGATGATGATGATGATGATGATGATGATGATGATGATGATGATGATGATGATGGTAAACAACGCACAACATAATGGATTATTAACATCATGGATTAATAATATTCACATTCACACGGAGAGCAGAATTATTATTATTATCACATTCACACGAACAATTGTTTGCGCAGCCAAAGTCTAATCCACAATCAGTCTGATGCAATTATCAATAAACGCAAGTACAATCTCAATTCAAGGTGTTTCAATTTAGATTGAATAATAAAAATTTCGAATTTGAATAGTTGTATGATATGATATAAACAGGTGTTAGATGTATATTTTGAATATAAAATTGATTTTTAGTATAATATAAAAAATAAAAAATAAGTATTTAATTTGATGTTTTTGAAAGAAAAAAATGGGATGAATAGTAGATTTAAAATTCAATCCCCCAAACAAACACACCCGAACGTGTTAACGGAAACATACAACTAAACATTAAATCAATTGATTCAAATACTCTTCCGTCCACAAACTAATGTCCTATTTTTCTATTTGGGACGTCTAATAACTATTGTTCATATTTCCTTTTTTAAACACAAATTTTACTTTTTTATCCTTTATTTATTTATCACTTTTAATCTCTACCTTATCATAAAGAATAAATTTGTCAATTCATACCAAAAAGATAATTACCTAAAAGATCGTGCAAATATACTTTAGAACAATTATAATTGGACGGAGGGAGTATTTTGCAGAGCTTAATTTCGTAAAAGAATTTTTTTTTTAATTGAAAATTTCTCAAAAATCAGAATGAAAATTTTTTCAAACCCAGGATCGAATTTTAATTAAGAAAATATGGCAAGAAGAAAATTCAAAGCAAGGCCGAGGCAGAATCGCTCTAATACCAAATGTTAGAAATAATTATTAAATCAAATATGTTAGTGGAAGCGAATACGAAAATTAAACAAGCCTCTAGTCATTCCTAAAATTAAATATATCGTTCAGATCTTAAAAGTAATTAATAGGTTGGAACCCTATGAAATGTTGCCAAACTTGGGAACCCTAAAAAGATGTTACCAAACCCTTGCTCCCAAATAGCAATGGTGTATTCTAATTTTTTAAGAGTAAGTTTAGTAATTCGTATGTGAGAGTATTTATAATTAAAAAGAAAAACCGTCCATCGCGATTATTTTAGTAAGTTTAGTAAATCGTATGTGAGAGTATTTATAATTAAAAAGAAAAATCGTCCATCGCAATTTTTTTGTCACTTCTCACGTATATTTCAATATGATGAACTTAATGGAAGAAAAATGTTGGTACAATTTATGGTTAGTTTAATTAGATAAGATAATCCAAAATAATCAAATTAATATATATCGGATTAAATTTCAAAATTAAATATGATTAATTAATTAATTAATTAAACTAACAGAATAGTTTAAACGGATTAAATCCTTCAATCTTAGCTCGATCCGTTTATTACAGTGTCGGATTCGTGTTGACCTGTATACATAATTGAGTCAAAATTCTTAATTCAAATCCGATTATTTTTTGTTCGATTTTTGTGTTATATTAATTTTTATTTGTTCTAGTGTAATATGCACAATGAATCACGATAAATTATTTAAAATTGTGTGTAGGTTAAATATCAAATTAGAATTATTGTATATATAATAAATATATTAATTAATATTAATAAATTATAATCGGATTGTAGGGTGTCAGATTCGAGTTGAAAGTCTCAATTATAACTCGATCCATTTATTATCGTGTCGAGTGCATGTCAATTCAGATATATAATCGAATTGAAATTATTGACTAATCCAATTATTTCGTATGGAATTCATATTGAATTATCGTATCATGTCAGTTTTTGTCACTCTTATAGAAATACTAAAATATAAAAAATACCAAAATTATATATCATTGTCGTATCAAATAAATTTAATATAGTATCAGGCCTTATCAAATTTTCATTGTTTTCAATACAATATTTATATGACGTACACAATATTTCAATATTTCGTTTTTCCCACCCTTCACAACCCAAACAATATTGTGTGTATGTTTAAATGACTTTACCATATTTATATTATTTATAAAAAAAATAAAAAATATCATAAAAAATACTCAATTTTAATTTATTATATTATATTAAAAATAAATTTAAAATTTAAAATCGTCACATCAACTCATATTTATATAATATTAAACAATTATTTAAATTTAAATTTATATTTTACTACTTTATCTGTCCAATAAGAAAAGTATCATTTTCTATTTTTCTTTATTCTAAAACAAGGATGTAGTTTCATAATTTAATAATTGTACTACTTATCTAATATAATAAATATCTTTACAATTTATAATATATTATACAATACTATTATTATTTTTATATTACACAATATTAATATAATATTTTTTATTTTTTTTATTACAAACTAATATAATATTAATATTCTAAAATCTACGTATTAAAAATAAATCATATTTTTTTTCAGAACGAAAATAATACTCATCCCATAACAAATATCTATTTTTTTTATTTTAATCCGTCTCATTACAAATTATCGATTTTTTATTTTTTTTTAGTAATTGTACTATCTATCTAATTTTACAAATACTCTTACAACTTACAATATATTACACAAATATCATAACTTTTATATCACACAGTACTAATAAAGTTATTTTAGTCATTTCTATTTTATTCTTACTATATCCTAATATAATATTAATATTTTTAAAATTTCGTGTAAAAAACAAATGAATACATAATTATGGGAGGAGGGAGTATTCAAAATTGAAATCCAAAATCTAAAACAAACACACAAGATTCGAGAGAGAATATTCGTTTCTTGGGAAGATAACAGTGATATACCATCCCATGTCTTGCATACCATGCCTTCATTATTTATCACGTGCCTTCACGTGACAGCAAACTATGTCCTAATTAATTAATTTATTTAATGATTGATGAGATTTTCATACCCATATATATATACACACAATAATTTTCTAGCAGAATTATTGCATAGAGATATCCTCAAAATTAAAATTGCAAGAAAAAATAGAATATATAATGGACAGTAATAATAATAATAATGATCTGATTTCAATAGGAAAAGCCATAGGTGTTTTGGGAGCTTTGATGTTGTCATGGAAGATTGTGAAGCACATGAGGAGCTTATTGCTGCATTTTGACAAGGAACCTCTCACTGTTCTTGTCACAGGGGCTGCAGGCATGTCTATATATATATATATATATATATAATTCATCATTTTACTTTTTTTCTTTTTTTTTTTTTTTTTTTCGGATACCTATTTTATTTATTAAATTTGTTAAAATTATTTTGTTTGATTGTGGTTTGAAATTAATTTTAAATAAAATGTTGATTTAGTTTTTAATTTAAATAGTATTTTGACGTAATGATTTATAAAAAAATAATAATAATATATTTTTATTAAAAATTATATTGAATAAATAGTATTTATTTGAATTTAAAATAGTAAAAAAAAAATCCTTATATATAGATATATTTTAATATGTTTTGAAATTTTAAAATTTTGCAAAATAAAATAGAATGAAATCTAGACATTCGAAGTGATATAAATAGATCTTTTATATAATATTTTGTTTAGAATATATAAAAATTATTGATAAAAATTGTTAAATAAATATTAATAGTACTAAAAAGTTTATGTAATATATTAATTAATAAGGGAGCGTGTTGGTTAACTCCCGTATATAGATAAATTAATTATACATATTCCTACGAGCTTAAATTTTTAAGTAAGACGATCCTCTAACAGTCATAGATGTAATAACTTGTATGAATATATAAAAATATTTTTATGAGAATTATATGTTTGTATAATTAAAAAAAAATGATTAAAAGATAACAAAGTCAGAATTTCTCAAAAATTTATAGAAGTAAACACAACTTAATAAGAAAAAGATAAAATTGATAATAAAATACTCCTTCCATCGAGAGTAAACTTTTCATTTTACTATTTTAGTTTGTACAAATCAAAACTTCTCATTTCTATTTTGTTTATAAAAATAATTCTCAACTAAATACCAAAATACCTTTATTTTTTTACTTTTCATATTACTTTTACTTTAATATCAAGGTAAAATAGACATTATATTATTTTATTTCACTATATATCTATACAATATTGATTTACTTTAATCTACGTGTAAAAGTCAAATGAAAAGCTTACTGGTGGACAAATAGAGTATAAGATTAAAATACATCTCTTGATTGACTTGAGGTTTATGGTTTATTTTGAATATATAGGTCAAATAGGATATTCCATCATTCCGATGATAGCAAGAGGAGAAATGCTTGGATTCGACCAACCTGTCGTCATCCACATGCTTGATATCGAGCCCGCCTCCGAGGCTCTCAATGCTCTCAAGATGGAACTCATCGATTCTGCTTTTCCTCTTCTTACAAGTAAAATTTTATGCGCATACGCGAAATTTTGATTATGTGTATAGAATCATATTTTTAGCGTAAACTTATAACACATTGTTGCGATATGTTTTTACCATGAGATAGCTAAGAGTTATTAGAAAATTAAATGGCGTGAAAGTGAATGATCCATTGGTAGCTAGTTAAACACAAAAATTACAATTTGAAATAAAATTTGAAATCAACTTGTTGATTGTTCAAAATTTGAAGATGAAACTGTAATGATGGTTAGTGATTAACTAGGGATACGCTGGTAGAAAAATATAACGATGTATATTTAGTTGTGCTTTGATATTTCGACTTTTTGGTTGTTTAAAAAATAATAAAAATTTTAATCGAAGATATAAACTTTGTTCATCCAAATAATTTTTTTGTTGATATGATTTTTTATGTATATATATAATATTATACTCTCTCCTAAAAAGTAAAAATTCAATATAAAATATTATATTTTATATTAATCAGACAATTTTCTTACCTCACATAAAATATAATTTAAATTTTAAAACACTAAAGAAAAGACATCCATATTTTATATATAGTATTTTTTTTTAAAAAAAATACTTTTTAAACGAAATATCACTAATGTTAAATATGCGTTCATTGTATTTACTTTATGTTTTTTATGAACGTGTTTTTACGATAGATATAAAAATTAATATTGGTAATATAAAAAAAATTAATAATTATTGACTTTTTGTGAGTTGATAGAGTATATATATTATATTAATGTATATATATTGTAATTTGAGTAACATTCATATAAAAAAAAAAAAAAAAATATTCGTGCAATCCAAAAAGATAAAATATTTTTTTTATGTTAATGTTAATATTTATTGTAAGAAAAGAATGAAATAGATTCACTAATTTATATGATATATATTCGACTAAAAAAAGAATACATGTGTCTGTATATATTGTGAGATTATAGAAAATTAAATGAATCATTTTAGATAATTAATTTTTATTCAAAAAACATAACAAAGATAAAATATGTTGTACTAATTATTTTTGTTAAAAATATTAGGATATACTTATTATATGTTTTGAATTTAAAATTTCTTTTTATTTATATATTAGGTACGAGAAAGTCTAATCGTTAATTGATATAAAAAATAATATTTTATTTTACATTTTTACTTGTATTTTTAATTGATAAAGTATATATAATATATTGTTTTAACATATGTATACATTGTATTTTTATAATATTTATAGATAAATATGTCAAAAAAACATAAAAAAAAAACACAAAAGGAGTCGCAAACCAAACACACACAAATTCAAATGAAAAAAACTTCTTCTCTTTTCTTTTTTTAAAAATATCCTTTTGAAAATATATTCATTCTACCATTATTAATAAATCCGACATTTTTTCTCCCGACAAGCTTAATAGAATGATCAAACTTAAGCAAAAAGTTAAATAAGACATTTTTTTTTTTTTTTTTGTGTGTGGATATAAAACGTTGACATAGGAAGAAACTAACAAGATAAAATTGATTAAGATAAAAAAAATAGTAAAAAAAAAAAAGATAAACAATATCAACCATTATTTTTAACTAAAAAGTATATAATTATGCAAAAAAGAACGAAGAAAAATATATTACACAAACTAATCATATTGTTATGGTCATTAGGCATTGTGGCTACGACGGATGTTGCCGAAGCTTGTAGTGGTGTAGATATCGCGATTATGTTGGGAGGATTCCCCCGAAAGGAAGGGATGGAGAGGAAGGACGTCATGTCGAAGAATGTTGCTATTTTTAAGAATCAAGCATCGGCTCTAGAGAAGTATGCTTCCTCGGACTGTAAAGTAAGACTTTGTTTATATACATATTTTTTTATAAATTTTTTTAGTATTCTCTCTATTCATTACTAAATTTTTCGTTTTTTATTTTAGTTTGTTCAAATTAAAAATTTTGATTTTTTTTTTTTTTAGAAAAAATAGCTATCAACTAAATATCAAAATACTTTACTTTTTACTTTTTACTTTTTACATTACTTTTCAAAGGTAAAATGGATATTACATTACTTTATTACATTGCATATCTATAAAATACTAATTTACCTTAATCCGCGTGAAAAATCAAACAAAAATTTTACCACCAGACATAGGGAATATTATTTATCAATAATATATTTTTTTTTTAAAAAAAATATTCTGTGAAATACTTATTTTTTCTCACCATATATCTTATTAAATATCCAACTTTTTATTATTCCCAAAATTTTCTAAAACTTCAAGTTTTCGTATCTAAATGAAGCCTAAGTTTCTATGTACGCCAATGTTTATGTTTCAGTTAACTTATCCATTCTTGTTTTCTACGCAAATTTTTATCTAATTACGAGAATTCAATGGAGACCTTGATATAGTAAATTCGGTTTGGCAAGTTATGAGCATCCATGTCCAATTGTAGGTCTTGGTGGTTGCCAATCCGGCCAACACCAATGCCCTAATTTTGAAAGAGTTTGCTCCTTCGATTCCAGAGAAGAATATCACTTGCCTCACGCGGCTCGATCATAATAGAGCCTTAGGACAAATATCCGAGAGGCTAAATGTTCATGTAAGTGATGTTAAGAACGTAATCGTATGGGGGAACCATTCCTCGACTCAATATCCTGACGTGAATCATGCAACGGTCAAAACGTGCAATGGCCCAAAACCCGTAAGAGAACTTATTGGGGATGACAAATGGTGAGTATTTTTAACTCATATTTTAAATTATACGAGAGAATTATGCTTTTATTTTGTAAATTATAGAAGTATAATATATTTTACTTTTTATATTTTTATACTCCCTCCGTCCCACATAATTTGTCCATATTTTCTATTTTCGTCTATTCCACATAATTTGTCCTTTTTTTTTTGAAAAATGATTATATACTTTAATTATATTTAAAATTTTAAGTTTTATAATTTTTTTAATCTTATTTAAACTATTTTAGTTATTTTAATCTTAATCTATAACTATTTTTACTATACAATAATTATTTTTACTAATACAATTTTTAATTACTTACTAATTATACTTTACCTAAATTCATGTATATACAGTAACACGCTCATATTAAACGGAGGAAGTAGTATTTTAAAATTCTAAAAGAAAAAATTCTTTAAATTTTATTTTATCGCATCACAAGAAAATGTTATCATTCGATCCATATAAATATATATTAGGTTAAATACGGAATTCATAACGACCGTGCAACAAAGGGGTGCGGCAATAATCAAAGCAAGGAAGCTCTCGAGTGCATTATCGGCCGCAAGCGCCGCATGTGACCATATGCGCGATTGGATCCTCGGAACACCAAAGGTTCGTAAATCTCTCTCTCTCTCTCTCTATATAAACTTATATACGTGGGTGTTTTTTGTTCAAGAATTTTAACCAAATTTTACTATTTATTAATATTTTTTTAAAAAACATCAAATTAAATATCTAATTTTATTTTTTTATATTATACTAAAAAATTAATTTTATATTTAAAATATCACAATACCTATATATATTATGAATGACATTGTGTGTTTAATTAGGGAAGTTGGGTGTCAATGGGAGTGTGTTCTGATGGATCATATGGGATTCAACCTGGCCTCATTTACTCATTTCCAGTTACATGCGACAAGGGAACATGGTCCATTGTGCAAGGTTAATAATTTAACTTCTGTTTACATATATATATATATATATATATATATTTACAATTTTGATATAATTTATCAATAATAATTTTTTTTAAATAAAAAAAGAAAGAAAATCATATCATATGCATAAATTTCAATTAAAATGTCACATTCAATATATATATTTAGAATCGTATTAAATAATTGATTTTTTTATTGTACTAAAAAATTTTCAAATATCTAAAATTTTCAAAATGCATATCTAAACCGAGCTTCATTTATATGTACTCTTCTTAATTTAAACTCATTTATTTAATTAGACATTAATTAAATCGAATAGGGCTGAAGATTGACGAGTTTTCCAGAGAAAAAATGGATGCAAGTGCCTCGGAGTTGAAGGACGAAAAAGCCCTTGCTTATTCGTGCCTTCATTAGAAACAGATAATTGGAGCTGAGAGTTCTCCGCTCCAAAAAAAAATAATAATAAGGGTCGAGGATCCGAACACATGTTTACGTAATTTTATATCAATATTAATTAACTTATCAAAATAATAAATTATAATTGTGTTTGTTTCCGTTTTCTCCAATTCTCAATAACCATTTTCACTCATAGTTCAAAAAATATATATATACATATATGTTACAAAAAATTGGCATGGAATCACTATTAGACAAACTCAAGCCAATTTTACAGGAACAAACCAAGCAAATTAAATATAATCTAAAAAAAGCATTTTAATATTATGCAAATAAAGAAGAACTAGCTATAATATTGTACTAAAGCCCAATAAGTAATGGGCCAGTCCATTTTTAAGCTTAATTATTGGATTTTGCAATAATTATATTAATATCAAATACCCTCTCCATTTGATAACTTTTCTTAATTTTATTTAGGATTATTTTAGTAAATTTATTTACTTAAATATATCTAACAAATATAAATTAATTTAATTAAATTTTTAACATCTTACGCATAAAATTCAGTCAAAACACTTTTATTTATATATCTTTTCGATAAATAAGTACTTTTATCTAAAATTATTACTCTCTATTTTTTTAATAAAAATATTTTAAGTTAATTATAAATAAATATATACTCCTACATTTTTTTAATTTATTTGTATTATATAGAGTTATTATTTATAAAATAATATTCATATTGTATACTTCATCATATCTATTTTAAAGGTCATTTGGAGTTTTGTATTAGATTAAAAAAATAATAGTAGTATTTTATTGATTTTGACATTTTTGTCATTTAACTTTACGTATAAAGTAATTGTATGTTTGTAATTTAAGTAAAAGCTAAGAGTATTTTAGTATTATTGTCCGATATTTTTTTATAAAATTTAAAAGGGATATTTTGAAGTGGGACGGACAAAAAATGGTAAAAATGATACTTTGAAATGAGACAGAGAGTGTATATTTTATTGACATATAATGCTAAAAATAGAGTAAAAATCATTTTTGATCTCATTCAATATCATAATTATCATTTTTGGTCTCATTGAAATCTTTTATCAATTTTGATCTCACTCAATGATTTTTAATGAAACCAAAATTGATAATTATGACATTGAATGAGACCAAAATAATTTTTACTCCTAAAAATATGTAAACACATTCTAAAAGTTTTTTACTCATAAATATTAATTCATGTTGGCCCTGAAAAATGATTAACTCAAGCACAAACACAAAAATTTCTTAGCACAGACTGGTTGTTCGTTGGACGATCGAACTGCGAGTGAACATACTGATGATGAAGAACAATAAATACACAACGAAATGATAACCTAGTTCGACTGCACTAGCCTACATCGGGGGTTCCAACCTAGTGGAAACTCACTATAGAAGCACAGGATGTGTGGATACAATCGAGCTACACATTCAAGAATTCTATCTACTCATTTCTTGATGATTTTCCGTACTCAACTTGTCCCGCTAACTCCCCACCTTCAATATTTGATTTTTCTCACTTCATTCTCTACTAGAAACTCCATAATGTTCCCTTAACAATATAATTTGCCCAACTATCAAATTAGTTGGTTACAACAAATTTAGATTCTCTCTAATGACGCTTCATCAATCTGTTACATGTCTCGATTTTGGGTTCACAATCATCACAAATAGACTTATGGGGCAATAACAATGTGAGTCTTAATAAACTTTAGGTTCAGATCGTATAGGCCCAATTTTTTGCTGCAGCCTATTCAATGTCTAGATAGCTCTCAAACATCAACCAAAATCCAATAAATAAAAACTAATAACTGACAAATCATATTATTAAAATAACAACAATAACATTTATATAAAAATAATAAAATAATATTATAATACACAATATATATAATATTCATCAGTTTTTTAAATAAGTATTCATTTACTTTTTACGTATTGAATTTTTTTATATTAATATTATATTCATGGTTAAACTGTTTTTTTAGTCCCGTAACTGGAACTCCTTATCATTTTAGTCCCGTAAGTGGAGCCTGTCGCAAACTAGTCCCATAAGTGGAAAATTTTCTTTGTTTTAGTCCTCCGGCGCCGGAGATGCTCGCGTGGCTCGCCAGAAGCCATGTGTCCACCATGTGTCCCGCCAGGTCAGCGACACTTGGCGGACACGTGGATTTTATTTTATTTTTTTCATTTTTTTTAATTTTTTTAATTTTTTTTTCATTTTTTTTAATTGGACGAAATAAATAAAATTAAAAAAATAAAAAATAATAAAAAATAAAATCCACGTGTCCGCCAGGTGTTGCTGACCTGGCGGACACGTGGCCTCCGGCGAGCCACGCGGGCGTCTCCGGCGCTGGAGGACCAAAACAATGAAAAATTTTCACTTATGGGACTAGTTTGCGACATGTTCCACTTACGGAACTAAAATGATAAAAAGGAGATAAAAAAAAATGTATTGGTGTTGGTATAATAAAAATGTAATAATATTTGTATAAAATATTATATAAATATAAATGTATTTTCAATATTAAGTATAATGACGTAAAAAATAAATAAATAGAGATAGTATATATTTTATTCACTCACACAATATAAGCAATTTAAAACAAAATATTATTTTTTATATTATCCATTTAATTTTTTATATTAATATAAAATATATATTCATCCAAAAAATTCCCTTCGTTTTACAATAACGTGCCCAATTTATCTTTCCCTATTATTGTTGTAACCATCAATTATTGCCCCTTAAACTATTGTCTTTCCACATTTCATATTATTATTATTATTATTATTATTATTATTATTATTATTATTATGTAAATGTTGTTTTATTTTTATTGCTAAAATTTTGAATTTCTAATGTATTTAGTTAGTGATTTTGAGTTTGTTTGCACGATATTCTTTTTTACACAATTGTTAATATATTTATTTTCGTCCGGCTCTAAGAGTCTAATTTACTTTTTGCGTATTGATCTTTAAATATTAATTATTATATGAAAACGTAATACAAATTAAGAAAAAATAAGGACAAAAATATTTTTATCAGTGTTTTATAATGCTATTACAATGATATTTGTGCAAAAAATTATACAAATATAATAATACTATTTTTAATGTTAAGTACAATGACGCAAAAGATAAATAAAACCGACGGATGAAATATATTTTATCTTTTTAAAAAAATTAAATTTTTTAATAAAAAACATTGTTTTTTATATAATCAAAACAATCCTCTATATTTTATAATAAAAAAATAAATAAAAAAAATAAACAAACAAATTCTTGTTTATTTATTTATTATTTTTAATAGTAGTGGTTACCTAATATTATATAAAATATATATTTTTTAAAAAGTAAAATTTTCTCTCGTTCATCTACTAACAAACTCATATACACTCTTGTTTATCATTTTTTGTCAGTCTTAAAATAATAGTTTTATTTTCATAAATAACCATATCACTATAAATTACTATTACTTTTTTATTATTATTACACAATTATCACTACTTTTTACACTAATACACTCACAAGGGCAAAAAAGTCTTTTACCCGGACTTTTTATCCACTACCGATATAATATCAATATTCTATAAATTCCGTGCCGAACACAACCCAAACTATAATTTTGGGAAGAAGAAAGTAGTATTTTCTTTAAATAAAAAATAATCTTATTCATCTTACATTATTTTTTACAAAAATTTACTATTTTGTTTTACAAAATATTATATCAAAATATTGTTTAATTAAAATTTTAAATAAATACATAATTTCAAATCAAAATTAAACGAACAAATATCATCTTTGGTAAATAAAGTACTACTATTAGTTATCAAGACATCATTTTGGTAGAAATGACTCATTATATTAGTAAAAGTTCTTGAATTTGGATTTTGAAAATAAATAAATATATATTGTAACTATTTTTCTTTTGTATTTAAAAGGAAGGATATTTTTATTACTCGCTCTGTCATATAAAATACTCATTTTTTTTTATTTATATGTCATAAATCGATATATTTATTTTTTAAAGTAAAAAATCATACTTCCTCCGTCATATAAATTTATTTAATAATTTTTTATTTTTTATTATAAAAGGCGAAAAATATACATTATATTAAAATTTATATCCAAATCAAATAAATATATTTTACATGATCGGGGAAGTATTATTTTACATTAATATATTTAAAATTGATTCATTGTACAAAATTATAAACATAAATAGTTAACAAAGCAATAGGCAAACAGACAACAATATTTAGTTGATAATAGTTTTTGAATTTTTTAATTTTGTTTAAGTTATAAATTACATGCTCCCAAAATCCTAGGTAATTTGGCAACAGAGTTTTAGGTATTATGTACTTAGTAAACAATAAAAAAGTGTATTAGTAAATATAATTATAAATTAAAATTAAAATTAAAATGACTAAATAGTTTAAATAAAATTATAAATTATGAATTTTAAAATATGATTAAAGTATACAATTATATTTTCAAAAAAAAAGAACAAATTATGTAAGATAAACCGAAATAGTAAGAGTAGACAAATTATGTGGATGGAGAGAATATAATACTTCCTCGGTCTTATACTAGTTGATATATTAATTTTTAATAAATTTATTAATTTTAAATATATTTAACAAATATATATATTTAATTAAATTTTTTACTACATGTTTTTACTATTCAAATTCTTTTTTTTCAAAATATCATATCAAATAGTTACTTTTTTTATATTATACTACAAATTTATTTTACATTTAAAACATCACATCAACCTCTATCTTTTATCACATCAACCTCTATCTTTTATCATATCAAACAACTATTTAAATTCAACTTTTTTACTATTAAAAATGTATAATTATTACTCCCTCCGTCCCAGAAAATATGGGACTATTACCGTAGATATGAGAATTTAAGTAAAGTATAATTAGTAAATAATTAAGAAGTGTATTAGTAAAAATAAGTATTATTTAGTAAAAATAATTATAGATTAAGATTAAGATAAGTAAATAGTTTAATTAAAGTTAAGAAAATTATAAAATTTAAAATTTAAAATGCGATTAAAGTGCATAATTATATTTCCAAAAATAG